GCTTAGCCAGAAACTTCTCTAGGACCCCAGAAGCGCCCAGCACTTGGTCTGGTACATTATCCTTACTATTCCTAATTATATTGCTGGAATTCCTATCTCAGCTATTCATGTGCATCTTGGAATTCATCCCAGAGAAGAGCTGGTTTCTAATTCAATCCCTCTTCCCATTTACAGAAGAGTCCAGTTTTTCCCTTTATGATGCAGATCAACAGGGAACTTTGGGGGCTCCCTGCCCAGAATGTTGCAGTAGATGCCGAGATGGCTACAGCTGTTTCTCCCATCCCACATGCTTTTTTGCAACATGACTTTTTACCATTCCCCATCAAGAGGTGGAATCAATTTCTTCACCTCTTAAATCTGAACTGGCCTTGTGACTATTGTGATCAATAGACTGTGGCAGAAGTGACAGCATGCCAGTTCTGGGCTTATCTCTTAAGAAGCCAGTGGTTTCCACTTTTCCCTGCTCAGAAGCCAGCCACCATACTGTGAGGAAGCTCAGCTAGGCTACAGCCTATGAGAGACCACATGGAGAGAGGCCTCGGAAGGTCAGAGGCTGTATTGAACATTGCAGCCTCAGTTGAGTTCCCAGCTGAGTGCAGCCACACCCCTTGGACCTCAGCCTTCACCCCTGGAGCAGAAGAACAGCCCAGCTGAGCCTGGTCAACCCACTGAGTGGTGAGAAATAATAAATCATTGTTTTTGGTTTGGGTTTTGGTTCTTTTGGCCTTGCCACGTGGCTTGTGGGCTCTTAGTTCCCCAACCAGGGATTGAACCCAGGTCATGGCAGTGAAAGCGCTGAGTCCTAACCCCTGGACTGCCAGGGAATTCCCAAAATCATCGTTGTTTTAAGTCGCAAAGTTTTTTTTTTTATCACTGTAGTAAAAAAATACATAATGTAACGTTTACTTTCCTAACCACTTTTAAGTGTACAGTTCAGTACTGCTAACAATATTCACACTGTGGTATGATAGATCTCTAGAAATTTTTCATTTTGCAAAACTGAAACTATCACCGTTCTACTTTCTTTTTCCGTGATTTTGGCTACTGTAGCTGCCTCCTGTGAATGGGATTATACACTATTTGTCCTTTGTGCCTGCTTAAGCCCCTACATCTTGAGCTGCCTGGTTGCTCAGGAATAACTATGAGAAACGTGACATCGGATTTCCAGCTCACATCCTCCACTGCAACCAGCTTCTGTCCTCCATGGCCAGGAAAGGGCTACCGTGGCTGGAGTCCAGGCAGCAAACACAGGAGGGCAAGGAGAGGCCTTGGGTGTCTCAGGTCCCATTTCTTCCTCTCCTGCCCAATCCTGTCCACAGGGGCACCCACCTGTGATGCCCGCTATCTGAAGGCAGTAGTTCCTATCTTCCGTGCAGGGGAGAGGGTTGCAATGGTGGAGGTCTGAGCAGGTGAAACAGACGGTGACCTTAGCCTTGGTATGGGTCACAGGTACATGGGGACCTGGGGAGAGAGGAAGATGAACTGGCTGGAGGACAACGTATGTGCGTGTGTGTGTGTGTGTGTGTGTGTGTGTACATTTCTGGGCACACAGCTATATGCCTGTGACTGTGCTGCGTGGATGCACTACTGCGATGATGCAGTTTGCGTATACGAGCATGCAGGTCTGTTTCTCTGTGTGCACATGTGGTCACGTGGTTGTGCATGTGTACGTGTGGAATTGTCTGAGGAGGGCTGGGGATGTTTGTGTGTCCGCTTCCGTGGGCCCCTGTGTGTATAGGTATCTATGTGCATGTCTGTGTTTACGCGTATATGTAGGAGGCTTGTTTGGGGGAGGTCCGTGTTTCCAGCAAGGTTTGGAGTGCTTGGATATATATGTTGGCGCACAGATATGGATGTTAGTAAAGTGTTTCAGTATGTCTGTGTATATTTTGTACTTTTGTATGTTTGTGTGTTTGTCCCTGTCTCTTTCCCTGTCCACGTGTCTGGATCTGACAACCGATGTGTCCCTGCACAGATATGTTATATGCCCGCAGAGACTGTATACATGAAAATTCCAAGTCCCAGCTTCCAATGGTTAGTAATCCTATTTTGCCCTTTTTCCCTTTCCACGTCATAAATTTTAGCTCCCAAGTCTTCCTTTTTTTTTTCTTCATCGTGATCATTCATTTAATCCTCTGCTTAGTTTTGAAAAGTAAACCGCCTAGCAGCTGGTAATCCGAGAAAGTGAAGGTGAGAATGTTCCTGCTTTGCTTGCAGATTCAGCAAACAGATCCCCTTCATCACAGAACTTGTCCTTGCTGTGCGGGTTTCTAACAAGAGCATCTTCTACATCCCCGGAGCTGAGGGGATACTGCTCTATCCAGGTTTGAAAATTTTCTCTGCTGGTCTGAAATGGCTGTAATTCTGGTCAGTGGTCTCACTTAAAAAGCTGTTGCCCTGGTAAATACTATCTCAATTAACATCTCTCTTTTCTGGAAGACGAAATTTATTGTCAATGTTCTTTGTTAAGCTGAAAGAAGACTATTGGCAAATCTGGCTTCTTTCACAAGCAAGGAAGTGAAGAAAAGGGAAAGACTGCCAGATTTCTTATCTAAATCGAGTCTAGATGTCTAATCTCACTTACACAACAGGATGTTCGTGTTTTGAAGTACATGCTCTTCTGTAGGTGTGTTTTGCGTGCTGGGATGTAAATGTAGATGTCTGTGGAGGTGTGGATATATGCCAATGGGATTTTCTGCTTCCAGGTGTCAGGTGGTATGAGTCTGTACGTGTGTGTGTGGGTAATTGCACTCCCTGGGTAATTGCACTCCCTGGGAGCATGATGGTAGGGGGAGGGGATACCCTGGGAACACATAGGATCGGGAAGGGCATTTGGGATCCAGAGAGGGCAGAAAGGGTGGGGTCTCAGGAAGTCAGGGTTCAAAGCACCTGGGTGGGTGGTAGGAGCCACGTAGTTGCATTCAGGCTTGGTGGTGAGATGAAATCCAGACGCTTCCGGGCCCAGGGTGGTGTTCGCTTGCAGGTGGCAGACCTCTGGTGTAGCACAGCCCTTCAGGATTTGGGGGGCCCCTGCAGAAACAGGGGGAAGCTTGAGGGGGAGACTCAGAGCTTGAGCCTTCCCAACTTGATGTCTGTCTTTCTCTGTCTGAAAGTTCCCAGCTCACTTGATTGTTCTGTATGATTCATTTTCACATCTACCTGGTCATTTCTTACAACCGCTTGTTGCCTGCTCAGCTGGAGGATTCTAACTTTATTCCTTCATGTATGTCACATATAGCTGTGCTATGTTCTGTAGCTGCTAATGATAATAGCTGAGTTCCTTGTGGACCTCTATCTGTTGTCTGTTGCTTCTGCTATCGCTCTTGGTGGCTTGTTTCCTTATGCATTTCATGGTCTCTGGATTGTCAGCTCCCATTTGGTTGATGTCAATCTGTGGGAGTCCTGGGGGCTTTTCCCTGGAGACGATTTGCCTTTGCTTATACTGAGAGCCAGGAGGTGCTACCAACTTGGGATCGTTTCAGCCTCCTTCCACGGTCCCTGGCTTATGTGGGGATTAAAGAGTCAGCTACCCAACCATGCTGTGGACCCAAGACCTAGTCACTTAAACCAGACTGTTATCAGCATTCACTCTTACTGCGCCTTTCATTTTCACTCACTGATCTTCTTCCTGATTTCTGCTCACATATTAGTTTAATTTGGGGAGCCGTGGAAATTTCCCTAACTTCCCATAAGCCCCCAAAATCATGGAAAAACATTTTTGACAGCATCTAGTTCATCTGTAAACGGTACCAAGGGGGATGGGTGGTGGGAGCAATCCATCCTGGAAGCAGGCTATAAGAGGGTGTATTGTCTGCAGAGCAGTTAAAAACAGTAATAAAACAAACTGAAAGTCAATCTGCTTTTTATTATCACCATATACCCACATTTCTAAACACTGGTGGTGATAAAATACCTCTCTCCACTGGAGTGGACCACTCCCCTCATTCTTCTTCCTCCCACCTCCACCTTTCCAGCATGCCACTGTTTGTAGAAGAAAGACCCTTCTGAGAATCTAGTCTGCCAGGCTAGACTACCAGGAACAGAAGCCCAGGCCATTTCTCTCTTTCACTTTGCTGCCTTCATAGTTAGTCTATTCTCTGATCAGTTTGATTCTATTCTAAGACTTTTGTTCAAAAAGCCTCTGCTCCAACCATTTGCAAGCAATAGTGATGATTTAAAAATACATCTGCAAATTCTTTAAGACCAAAAGGCGAGGGTCTATACCTCCTCTCCATGAAATCAGATGGACTTTTGTGACCATTTCAACCAATAAAGCATGACAGAAGTGACAAGGTGTGATTTCCAAGGTTAGGTCATAAAAGACCATGCAGCTGCCACCTTGTTTGTTGGAATACTTGCTCTTGAATTCTTCAGCTGCCATGTAAAGATGGTGGCAGCCATGATGTGAGGAAGCCCAATTTGACCAACGAGGCGAAATCACACAGAGAAGCTTGGAGATTACATGGAGAGAGAAGGGGGCCAACTAGCCCAAGCTGCTGCCTTGTTTCTGTATTATTCAGTGTATTGGAGTCTCCGCCACCATACAAAAAGCCCCAAGGCAGCCATGCTGTGAGGAAGCCCGATCTAACCAACGTGGAGAGAACACATGGAAAAGCCTGGATTCTACGTGTATGAGATGCTCATCTAGCCCCTAGTTGCCCTCAGCCCTGCAGTTCTAGCTCCAGCAACCCTCTGACTGTAACTATATGAGAGACCCAGAACTGTCCAGCTGAACTTTTCCTGAATTCCCAGCCTAGAGAAACTGTAAGAGTTAGTAAAATGATTGTTGTTATTTTAAGCCACTACGGGTGAGGGTGATTTGTTAAGTAGCAAGAGATAACCAGAACACACATGCAAATAAACCTCAACACTGATTTGTGCAGGTGGGAGGGAGGCCAGCCATGCAACTGACCTCCTGAAGGGAACCCTTACCTCCATGCCATGTCCCATTGAGAGTGAAACACACAGTCTCGTTCCCGGTGCAGTTCATGACCGGAAGGGAGTCACATGGGGCCGACTTATTCCCACAAGAGTAGGAACACTTCACCCCGTTGGGCTGAGCTTCGGGTCTCGCTTCTGGTGGGAGCGGTTGTGGTGAGGGTAGGATGGGGCTGAGGGAGACCCCCCTCTCAGCCCTCTTTTACCCCTCCAGCCCTCTGTTCTTGCTGTTTCCACTCACAACAACCCAGAGCAGGACTTCCCTGGTGGCGCAGTGGTTCAGAATCCTCCTGCCAACGCAGGGCACGTGGGTTCGATCCCTGGTCCAGGAAGATCCCACATGCCGCGGAGCAACTAAGCCCGTGCACCACAACTACTGAGCCTGTGCTCTAGAGCCTGAAAGCCACAGCTACTGAGCCTACAAGCCGCAACTGCTGAAGCCCGTGCACCTAGAGCTCGTGCACCGCAACAAGGGAAGCCACCACAATGAGAAGCCCACGCACTGGAACAAAGAGTAGCCCTCGCTCACCGCAACTAGAAAAAGCCCGTGCACAGCAATGAAGACCCAATGCAGCCAAAAATTTTTTAAAAAACAAAAATAAAAAAACCCAGAGCATTTTCCTCCAAAGTGGGACCAGCCTGGCCTCAGACACCCTTCTGGCCCTTGAAGATTTATTCCGAGGAGCAGAGTAAACAGAGCCAAAGGTGGAGCTGGCTCCACTCTGTTCATTTGTCCTGCACAAACCTTCAGGCTGAATCCCAAGGCTTCTTGCATTCATTCCCCAAACATTTCTTGAAAACCTACTGTGTGCCAGGCCCTGTTTTCAGGACACAGCACTGACCACACAGACAGAAGCCCTCCCTCAAAGACCCCAAGTTCCAAATGTGACGAAAAGGTGATCCTGGGGCTTCCCTGGTGGCGCAGTGGTTGAGGGTCCGCCTGCCGATACCGGGGACGTGGGTTCGTGCCCCAGTCCGGGAAGATCCCACATGCCGTGGAGCGGCTGGGACCGTGAGCCATGGTCGCTGAGCCTGCTCATCCAGAGCCTGTGCTCCACAACGGGAGAGGCCACAACAGTGAGAGGCCCACATACCGCAAAAAAAAAAAAAAAAAAAAAAAAAAAAGGTGATCCTGTTATTTTAGGTTTTAAGATATTTTGGTGTTCTACAAAAGAGTGGTACTCCACCACCCGATTAGTTTTCAGAGTTTTCTTAGAGATCTGGAACATTTACAAGGAAGCCATTTAAGCATGTTTTTCCTGAGTCAAAACTAAGCCACATGGGCTTCCCTGGTGGCGCAGTGGTTGAGAGTCCGCCTGCCGATGCAGGGGACGCGGGTTCGTGCCTCGGTCCGGGAAGATCCCACATGCCGGCGGAGCGGCTGGGCCCGTGAGCCATGGCCGCTGAGCCTGCGAGTCCTGTACTCCGCAACAGGAGAGGCCACAATGGTGAGGGGCCCGCGCACCGAAAAAAAAAAAAAAAAAAAAAAAAGGAAAAAAACAAACAAACACCCAAAACTAAGCCACATATCGTTTTAACGTGGGTTTATACTAAAACATTGGCAGATACAGAAAAGTAGAGAACTGTGCTAATTAATATGTGGCTGCTGTCTACACATGGCTATTAAGTAGTTAAAACTGTGGCTGGTTCCCTTTGGGATGCGTCGTGAGCATAAACACACTCTAGATTTCAGAGGCTTAGTCTGGGAAAAGAAAGTAAAATATCTCATTAATAATTTTATATTGATTATCTCCGTATTGAAGTAATAGTTTAGATATGGTACCTTAAATAAGGTCGGTTCTTAAATTAATTTCGCCTGTTTCTTTGTGCTTTTGAATGTGGCCACTAGAAAGGCTTTCACTCCCTAATATGGCTCACATTGTATTTCTACAGACAGCACCGCTGTCAGCATCTACCAAGACACAACTACTCTAGTACACCCGAAACTAACACAATATTGTAACTCAACTATAGTCCAACATAAAATACAAATTTAATACAAATTTAAAACTTCCTGGTAAATTGGTCTTGTTGATATGAAGTGTCCTTGTTTATTTCTAGTAACACTTTTGCTTTCAAGCCTACTGTATCTGTTATTATATAATTTCCTTTTGGTTTATATTTGCACAGTATATCTTTTCCAACTTTTTTACTTTCAACCTTTTTGTACCATTATGTTTTGTTTTTTTAATAAAATTTTAAAAATTAAAAAAAAAAAATCATGCTAAGAATTTTTCATACTAAAAAAAAAAATTTAAAACAGAACAAAAAATAAAATAAAAATGATCAGTAGAAGAATCTGAAAAAGAACGGATATATGTATACATTTATTTTAAAATAAAAAAAAATTAATAATAATAAAAGAATATTCCGAGGTAGTCTCTTCAACCTTTCTTTACACATAGTTTTGTTTTGTTTGATGCAGTTATACTCATAATTGGCATTTTATATGCTGAATAGCATGCCCACCTCCCAGCTTGGACTTGGCTATTTTATTTGGTTGACATGCACAGTTTAGGAGGAGGGAAATCCCACGTGTCTGGAAGGATGGCTAGCAGCCCTGAATGTGGAGCTGTCTCAAGTCTCCCCACCGCTATACCTGCCAAATACAAAATTCCTTCTCTGGAAAAAATAACCAGGCAACCAAAAGTGATCTTTATCACCACTCAGAGACAGGTCTGGAGTGAGCCAGCAAGGAGATGCTCATTGTCAAGGTCGAACAAGTGCAAAGTCAGCACCTGAAAATGAGCACCTCCCCTTACCCTAGACCAGAGCCCATCACCACCCATGACATTTCTTGTTCTGCTTCACTATCCTTCAGGGCAGCCCCTCTCCTAAGGAGAAATAAGAGTCTGGGTCTTCTCTCCAGCCCCGCCGCCAGTAACTGGATAAGCACAGCTACAATTTATAGAGTGCCTACTATATGCCAGCCCTGTGCTGGATGCACCCCCTGCCAAAGTTATTTCACACCCATTTTCCAGATGAGAAAACTGAGGTTCTTCCTGTCCCAGGCAGAGCCGGAAACCAAGGCCAAGTTCCCATGTCACCCCACCCGGGTGTGTGACCCCCAGGTCCCGCTGACCAACCTTGTCGGGTAAACCCGCTACAGCTGTTTTCATAACAGGCTGTGCTGATCCAGAGACTCAAGTGGGGGCCGCAGGTCAGGGAGTAGACATCTCTTCGACATTCCCCAGGGGCCACGCAGGACCCATTCTTGACGAGAGTCCCATTTGCTGGCGACAGAAGTTGAGGAGGGGAAGTTAGAGACCACCCCCCAAGCCCTCCCAGACCTCTGCCCCTCTGCAGCCATGCCCAGAGGTCAGTCTGGGGCCTCAGCTGGTGTTGAGAGCACCCCATCCCCCAACCCCCCGCGGCAGTGAGCTGAGCTACCAGGCAAGGTTTGGAACCTTCAGTCCCAGGGCGGCAGGTCCAGGCCTCTCCCCTCTGACCCCTGCCCACCCACTTTGGGTACTTTGTCCCTCCTCCCTGCCCACCCCCTGGCCGATCCCCCACCCAGCTGCAACTGGCTTAACAAGCAGGAGTCCCGGGCTGGAGGACAGGTTATCTCCGTGCAGTTTCCTGGCACAGAGCAGACTGGACACATCTTGGAGGTCCCTGTGGAAAGAGAGGGGTGATCAGAACTTGTGATTTGAGAAGGAAAAAAAGGGGAACAAACACACACACTCTCATGTACAATTCAAGAACAGAACTAAGGGGGAATTCCCTGCTGGTCCAGTGGTTAGGATTTGGCCCATTCACTGCCAAGGGCCTGGGTTCAATCCCTGGCTGGGGAACTAAGATCCCGCAAGCTGCTTGGCACGGCCAAAAAAGCATAATAATAAAAATAAAGAATAGAACTAAGGGCTGGGGGTGGGAGGACTGTTGGGAGAAGATCCAGGAACATTTTCCTGGTGGTGAGTAAATGGCATTCCAGGTGCACGAAACAGTGTGGGCAAACCTTGGGAGCCGGAATCAGCACCTCCAAGCTGGGGCTGAGGAGAGTCTCCGGGTAATCTATCAGTTCTCACCGTGGAACTCTTTTTCGCAACGTTTCCCCCCTCCAAGTCCAGAAGTGAACAGTTAAGAGTGTCATTTCCCTTCATCATTTCTCTTTATCAGCTGGGCCGAGGACAATGTCTGGTGAGTCTTCATCTTAACCCCCAAGAAGCCCCTGAGGCTCTTCCAAGAAACCTCAAGGCTCTAAGACACATAGTCTGAAAAGTTCTGACCTTGACTCATATCTTCCTCTTACAGATGAGGAAAGTGAAGCCGGGGAGGTGGGGGGGCGGTACTTAGAGTCTCACGCAGCAAGGTCCTGGCTAGGTTTTGACCACTTAATTCCCAGCCAAAGCGGGTAGAACTAGAACCAGGGGGGAGATAGGCAGACGAGGTAAAGGAATAATAATAAGTTATGAATAATAACTCACCTTCAGGCAGGGCCACTTATGACCTGATACTGTTCTAAGCTCTTAAAAAGCTCCTCAAACAAAAGAATTGTTTTTTTAAGTTGAGGATTATGTTTTATTTCGGGCATTCCTGAGGACTTAAGCCTGGGATACACCCTCTCAGATAGATCTGAGGGACAGTTCCAAAAAGGTAGGGGAGGAGCCAGGGTATATAGGAGTTTCTGCAAAGACAAACAAAAAACCCCACAGGTAGTCGAACATCAAAAGACTACTGCTAATTAAAGAAAACCCAGGGACTTCCCTGGTGGCGCAGTGCTTAAGAATCTGCCTGCCAATGCAGGAGACAAGGGTTCGAGCCCTGGTCCGGGAAGATCCCACATGCTGCGGAGCAACTAAGCCCGTGCACCACAACTACTGAACAGCTCTCTAGAGCCTGCAAGCCACAAGTACTGAGCCCACGTGCCACAACTACTGAAGCCCATGCACCTAGAGACCGTGCTCCGCAACGAAGAGTAGCCCCAGCTTGCCGCAACTAGAGAAAGCCCGCGCTCAGCAACGAAGACCCAATGCAGCCAAAAATAAATAAATTTATTAACCCCCCCCAAAACCCAGACATCTCAAGTTAATGAATTTAACGCTTTTCTATCTCTTCAAACATATTAATTCAGTGAATGCCCCCAAGAGCCCCCTGAGGCAGAGTTATTATCACCCTCATTTCACAGATGGGGAAACTGAGGCACAGAGCGGTTAAGTGGCTTGCTCAAGGTCACACAGCTAAGAAATGGCAGAACCAGGATTTGAACCCAGGCAGCCTGGCTCCAGAACTATGCTCTCAAACACTCCCTCCAGCTGCTTCCGTTAGACAAAAAGCCAAGATACAAGAAGCTGGCACTCAGACTCCCACCACCCATGTGGCCTTGGGGCCCACCCTCTCCCTCTCTGAGGGACCACACACAATGCGCCTACCTTCTGAGGCTGCCAGCGCTCCCAGGAGCGCCAGAGGAGAGAGGAGCCAGAGCATGATTCAGGCCAGAGAGGAGGAAGCAGAACCCAGGTGCCCTGCCCTTTTATTCAAGGGCATTGGCTAGGGTGGCAGCCCTGGAAGAGGGAGAGCAAATAGGCTGGGGAGATAGCGGGCCCACCTGCCATCCTGGCCACTGGGAGTGGGGGAAAGGGCTTAGGGAATGTGGAGATGGGGAAACTGAGTCCTGAGGGGCATGGAGGATAAGCTGGAGGCTATTCAGCGAAGCCAAAGAAGAATGATGAGCATGTCCTTGTTGTTATTATTATTATTGTTATTACTAATAGGTTTGCTGGTCATTCCATAGAGATGTTAACTCACTAGATCCTTACAATAATCCTACGAGCTATCACCATTAACCCCAGGAGGCATATTCAAAATATTTGAGCGTCAGTCAGTATAGGCCTGGCTGTGCAGCAGTAACAATTCGGCCCCATTACTAGAGCAATGTCCTGGTGCCCTCCACTGACCTGGTGTTTCCCTTTTAGTTAGTAGAACCTGGGGATGTCTGGGGGGCCCCAGACATGCCGTAGGTTAGGGGGCAACCAGGGTCTTGGGGGAGCGGATTTTTACCAACCAAATCTGGAGGTATCTCAATATTTTTACAACTGGTACGGTTGAAATCAGCCCTGAGTTTCCGCATCTAACAGAGAAGGAAACTAAGGCTCGGAGCAGTCCAGGGCCTTGTCCAAGGCCACAAAGTGAGGACATTGGCACAACCAGGATTTGAACGCAGGCCCCACTGAATTGACCATTGGATTTCACCAAGAGGGGAGAGGGAAGACAGCTCCCTTCCTCTGGATGAGGCCTGCATTACTCTCTTGCCCCGCCTCTGCTGGGCAGCCTTGATTTGCACATCTGTTCAATGGGAATAAGATCCATCTCAACCACCCACGAAGGGCCTTCCAGCCCCGATGCTTGGAATGTCTCTTCACAAGCTTTGAGTCCCCACCGGCCTCTCCTTTGTGGAGTAACCCTGGGGCTATCCCTTGCCTTGTTTGGGGCCTTGTGTTGAACACTGAGATCCTTTTCTTTCGATTCTGGATTTTTTTTTTTTTTTTAATTTTTGACTGTGTTGGGTCTTCATTGTTGCATGCAGGCTTTCTCTAGTTGCGGCGAGTAGGGGCTACTCTTCGCTGTGGTGCGCGGGCTTCTCATTGCAGTGGCTTCTCTTGTTGCAGAGCAGGGGCTCTAGGTGCACAGGCTTCAGTAGTTGCAGCACGTGGGCTCAGTAGTTGTGGCACACGGGCTTAGTTGCTCCACGGCATGTGGGATCTTCCCGGACCAGGGCTCGAACCCGTGTCTCCTGCATTGGCAGGCGGATTCTTAGCCACTGCGCCACCAGGGAAGTCCCAAGCCCTATGATTTTAAATCAGAATTGTTAATCCTCAATGGAAAGTTCCATTCTTCTGCAAACTCAGGCTCTGACCTCAGAGGTTAGGTCGGGGATCCCTGCCCCACCCGCAGGATCCATATTAGATCTCAGGAGACCACAGCTTGGCTGGCACTTCCCAGGAAGGAAACAAGTTAGGTCATCAGGCCTCCACCAGTCCCTAAGCAGATAAGATGAGTGATATGTCCCTGCCCTGGTGACATTAAACTGGCATCAAGCCAGGGCGTTCAGTAAGCGCTCCATAAATGTTGGCTACTTGACGGTTGAGGTGATTTATACTAGTGACGTTCAGGCTGCAAGGAAACCTCACACCCATGCAGAGGTGGATGAGCACTGTGGAACCAGAAGGCCTGGATTCAAGTTCCAGTTCTGTTGCTTCAAGTTGGGTGGTCTTGGACATTTCACCCCCCTGAGTCTCAGTTTCCTCATTTGTCAAAGAGGGCAAATAGGAAGACCTACATCACAGGGCTGCTGTGAGGATAAAATGAACTGATGCATCAGAGAAGAGCACTGAGAACAACAGATGCTCTGTATCATCGTCATCACCTCATCATTATCATCATTTAGCTGCGGGCATGGCAAGGCTGGGGTTGGCCTACCCCCTTGGCTGAGACAAGAGAGCCCAACTGAGAGAAACGACCAATCCAAGGTCATTCCGCAGGACTGTCAGACTTCCCAGACTCTGGGGAAGGGCCCTCAATCAGGGCGTACAGTCAAGGAGCTCTCTCTGGAAGGTGCCAGTCCTAAGGGAGAAAAACAGGAGGCTGGAGGTGGCTCTTCCTGACAGGGTGCTGTAGCACGGACAAGTTTGCGGAGGAGGCCCACCTCCTTCCCACGTGGATCTTGAGCCCCTTGGTCCAGGAGCAGTGGGAAGAAGGGAGAACAGTCCCCAGGGAGCCTAGAGTCCAGGAGGAGGGAGCGGCTCCTGGGGCTTCGTGACTAGCAGCTACTCTCCTCAAAGGTTAGCTGATAACTCAGGCTGGGTAAACAGGCCATGAGTTGCACAAACATGAGGCTTTCAGGGTAAAGAGTGTGAAGGGCAGGGAGGCAGGGGTGGACGTTTCCCTGCCCTTAATTTGAAACCTGGAGGTGAGGGGACATCAGAGCAGTTCGCTAATGCATGTCCAAGCAAATATGGGCATATGCATACCCACCTTTTATGTACAAACAACAGGATATGATACACGCTGTTCTGCCCCTAGATTTTTCCACCTGACAATCATGTAGCCTGAATTACATAGTTCCCGCTTTCTTTTTTCCATTGGATAATTGTACCTCTTGTACAATTTGGTATGTTCCCATCACTCGGTATTGCAAACGACGCTGCCGTGAAAGAAGAACATAGGTACTGAGTTCCCAGAAGTGGTTAAGTGGTTTTGCAACATCAAAAAAGTTTTCTACATTTGTAATTTTGAGAGCAATTGCAAAATGACCATCCATGGGGTTGTACCAATTTACACTCCCACCAGCAGTGGGGGAGTGTCCGTTTCCCCACAGACTGGCCAATTCTGTGTATCATCCAACTGTTTTATTTTTGCTAATCCGTAGGTGAAGGCATGTGGTAGGATGCTGGTGGCCATCAATTCTGTGCGGCTCCTTCCATCAAGAGGCGGTCCTTGCTTCCCTGGCGGTCCAGTGGTTACGACTCCATGCTTCCACTGCAGAGGGCGCGAGTTCGATCCCTGGTTGGGGAACTAAGATCCCACATACCACGCAGGGCGGTGTGGCCAAAAAAAAATAAAAAGAGAGAGAGAGAGAGAGAGAGAGAGATGGAGTCTATTTCCCTCTCCTCAACTCTGAGCCAGTCCTGGAACTTGCTTTGACCATAGAATGTGGCAGAATTAACATTGCATGAGTTCTGAGCCTCTGCCTAAGAGGAACTTGCTGCTTCTGTCATCACCTTGTTGCTGCTGAGAACCCTTTTGCCAATGTGCGAACCAGCTTGCCTCCTGTAGGATGGCAGAGGCTCTGGGCATCCCAGCCATTCCAGTTGACAACCTACAAGTGAAGCCATCCAAGATCAACCAGGCCCGGTTGAGCCAGCCTAGACCAAGATGGGTCCAGCCAAGCCACAGAATCTCAAGGCATAATGTTTGTTGTTTCAAGCCACTCAAATTTGGGGTGGTGTAATCTAGCAAAAGCCAGCTGATGCAAATGGTATTTCAGTGTCATTTTTACAAGAGTCATTGTGTTTCTTCTTCCATCCTTTCCTAATTTTTCTATAGATTCATAGGTGCTGTATCAGTGTCCTGTGGCTGCCACAGCAAAGTAC